AGGTCTCGAAAAACAGTTAAAAAGGGGACTGGACGAGAAGGAGGCCAGAAAAATGAAGAGGAGTGGGGCGTTTGGACGAGTTGTACAGTGTGTCTCACTGCGCACGTGTAGGTCCTGGTGCAAATAACAGACTAAGGTAAGCAAAAATTCATTCATTTATAAGCATAAGTAAACAAAAAACCCTACTAACAGCAAAAATAGCCCATCTTTTTTAGATTCCTGGGGTAGAAAGTTAAATAAGGGATCGCAGCTGGAAAAAGAATAACAATGAAAAAAGGATGGGAGAAAACTTCGCCCCATAACTCGGCGAACATCTGACTGTGTGTGGGCCCTGACGTGAATACTTACAATTTGCATCCCCTCGACACTCGTCTGAAGTGACATAGGTCGAGGGGTGGAATGACCAGGTGAGCCAGGAACGGGGCTCCCACTATGCCCGTACCGTAGAGTTTTTGGGCCCGAGAGGATCCTTGGGGGCCACTGGGTATTCTTAAGGGAAGAACTCGAGGAACTGGAGGGAGGAACTTATCGTGAACTGCGCCTTTAATTTTAACAAGCACTGTTCTTACCGGCTCTCTTCTTCGCTATTCTTTACTCACTGATGACCCTCAGGAATGGGCGAAAAGCATAGGGGCTTAGGGGATAGTGAAGAAACATGATTCGTTTGAGTAAGAGACGAAATAAATCATTTATCGTTTATTCTCTATCTTTCTTGCATACTCTCAAGTACTAGAACTTCTACACTATTGGCAATAGAGTAGCTTGTCGGCAATCATCTACAGCTCACCGCTTAGCTACTTTATTGGGGTGTGTCAAAAGTTTTAGAATTTTCGTAGATAACTTTCCCGCCACTTTCTTTGGGTCCTAGCTGCAAATGGACAGTGATGTGCGAGACTGTTGCATAATTTGTGATTGGGTGATGAAAAACCATTAAGGCTACACGTCAGCTAAAACCCTGAGACAGTGGCGGAATAATATTGTATGAAAATTCTAATATTCTTGGGCACCCTATTATTTTTTGAGTGGATTCAAAGCGCTCCGTTCCCTTTCTGCTCTCTTTTCGAGTTGTACCTTTTGTCGTGGGCATGCAGAGACACGACCCTAGTGAAGGTTAATAAGGAAGACTAGTTTGCTTCCTCTGAAAACTTGAGACTTAGTCCTTCCCACTCTTCTGTTCATATGCAAATCTTTTCTTCAAACATGTTTACTGGGTTTTAACTTTTAAAATTCCTCTTTATCTTTCAATGTAGATTGATGGGAACATTAATTTTCCCAATGGTGCCTCCCAAGTTGCATTCAAATATTCGTGCGTAGGGGAGTTATTCGAACCGAAGAACCTTACCATGGCATCCACACCATCTCAAAACCTCGAGGTGATACGCAGCACGACCCTTGTAGCATGGCCCCACCAGAACGGCACGATAGTATCGGTGTACACCCGTCTGTCAGGGGTGTGGTGCGTTAGGAACGAAATGGTCGCGTCGCAGTGAGAGGTGCCTCGCGCGCGAAGGAATGTAGCAGGATGCGGCAATAGGTAAGAAATACAAGAACAAAAGTACTA